TTGACCAAATCATATCGCAACATTTTAAATCTGTGTTGGCGCTGCCGCTGACCCAGAGAGAGTTGTCATGAAACAGCTTCACAAAAGGTCTTTTAAACCTCATAATAGTATCAATATTTCTGTCATACAATAGTTCAAATTATCATGGAAGTACTGGGATAAAAGTTTAAAGCTCAAATATAAACACTGATGTCTACGGTAGCGATCACAATAGAGTAAATCAGCTTTCAATAGAAACTTGGCTCTTAAAACAACACATTTATCCATTACATTGTTTCTCCACTAGGTGATGACAAGTGACTTAAAAATGTATTGGTTATTGAATTATTTATTCAAGAGAATGTAGAACTGTATGATGCTCCTGAAATAAAACTCAGAAAGATGTGATGAATTGTTTTTGTAAATATGTCTCATCTTACACATCATGTACAGTCTGTATAAGTGTATGATTGAACTTTTCCCCATAGCCTAGTGTTAAAAACTAATCACAATACATTGCAATATCGAATCGCAATATTGTAGAATCGCAACGTATCGGCACCCAAGTATCGCATCTGGAGATAGATGCATTGTCACAGCCCTAGTGTGTGTGTACAATGTATTTGTTAATATTTTAAAGAACTCTTAAAGTCCCCCTCCGATCATATTTTGATCTATTTTATAAACATTCCCAGTGGTCTTTAAATTATGATTATGCCATTTTTAGCCAAAATCACAAAACCTGTGCCGTTTTATGGGACTTCGCTTCAGCAGAGCGGCAGTAGCTCATTAGTAATTCGCCTCTGGGTTGTGGGCGGAGCCGTTGGCACGGAGACGACCCTCCCCCTCCGCGTTGCTGAGAGCTCTCCTCTGTCTCTCCCACTAGCTTACACTTACAAATTATAAGCAACTCAAATGTTGTATTAATTTATTAGTTGTTGAGTCTTAAGTTCAGGCTATTGCTGTCTGATTCTGTTAGTTCACCTCACCTCCTGATCCGAGACATTCATTCCTTTGCAACTTCATATTTATCAGGTTTGTTCTCCTCCTCTCGTGTCTCGATATGTTAGCTGTCGACTCTTCAGTGTCTGACTCTGTCTGCTGAGCCGTGCCGTGTGTGATACAGAAGGACTGGAACGAGTAATGATTAGTTCATATTTCGAGTCTCGAGTTCGGGTTCGGCCGTGTCCGAGTCTTTCGTTCTTCCTGTCAGTCCCATAGACTAGAGGCTATGCTGTCAGTACCAGAAAGAGAAATGATTAGTTCATCTCGAGTCTCCGGGTATGAGTCGTTCTTTTGTCACTTGACCGCTGGTATCTCGCATGAAATACATTAGTTTCGTATTATTGACTGCGTCTGAATGTATATTGTTTTATATATATATATAGGCATTAAATAACAAAATAAAAAATGTTCTGAAAAAAATAAAAATTCCATATTGTCCCTGTCCGTCTCTTTTCTATATTGTGCATCTGTGGTGTGTTTTATTATATATTATAAATGTATTAACTACTATTACAGTATATTATACATTATCTATGTGCTTGTTTGCAAACAGTTTAGGGAACATCAGTATGGAGGGAGGGGAGTATGAGCTTGTGTCCCCACCCAGTGGAGTTAATACGTCACAACTCCAGTCTATTTTAGCCGGCATTTTAGCGTCTGCTACTGATTCACAGAAATTTGTATGTAGAAATACTCAGAAATGCAACTTTGAGCTTATTTTTCTCAAGAAACGCCCTCTAACATTAGAAAAATGACACAAGAACATGTTAACACCTAGAATTTTTTTTTTCATCGGAGGGGGGTCTTTTAATATTGATGTAATTAATGTTCAATAAAGGCTGTATTAAAGCACTTAATGACATTCGCAGATTTTCAGTGACCTAATTTATTCACTCAGAGTCGTTATGGTAGAGATGATCTTACCTCAGTGTCTCCAGTTTACAGTGAGGATTCGCAAGTAGATCAGAAAGATGCTTCACTCCTGAGTCTCCTAGTTTATTATATGACAGATTCAGTTCTTTCAGGTGTGAGGGGTTTGATCTCAGAGCTGAAGCCAGAGCAACACAACCTTCATCTGTGACTCCACAACAATCCAACCTGTAGAGAACAACGACACACATTAAGCCTATATCCAGAGATAAACACAACACTTAAACTATACATAACATAGGCAAGGCAAGTTTATTTCTATAGCACATTTCATACACTATGGCAGTTAAAAGTGCTTTACATAGAGAGAAAATAATCACAAAATAAAAGCAAGGAAAGTAAAAGGAAAATTCAAAAAGTTATTCAAAAGCTTTACATAGAAAGGAATTATAATAATCACACTACAGCTAATAAAAAATCTTTATTTCTATGGAAAATCCCCATAAAACATGGAAACCCAACAATGTGTGTGAGCGTGTGCCTGTGTGTGTGTGATTAAGTGTGTGTGAGATTAAGTGTCTGTGTGTGTTTACTGTATTTGTAAACATTTTAAAGAAAGTGTGTGTGTGTGTGTGTGTGTGTTAGGACTGGGAAAAAAAAATCGATTCACATAACCACCACAATTTTCTGGTTCACAATTTTTAAATATTTTTTTATTTATTCCATAATTGATATTGATTCAAATTAAATTGCTTTATTTTTGTCTTTGCTTATAGACGAGGTTGACAGAAGTTCGCCACTCTTGCTCGAACAGAGGATTAACTTTTCGTTATCTATCTGTGTTGGCGCTGCTGCTAACCCAGAGAGAGTTTATTAAACAGCTTCACGAAAGGTCTTTTAAACAGGGCCGGATTAAGAGTTCAGAGGCCCCTGGGCACAATGTCTTGTAGGCCCCCTTTTAAGCAGGCCAAATGTGTATTTTGTCCAAGGACATTTTAATATGGCATTTACAGTTCTACTGACTTAAAATTAACTTTGTTGTACTATGCTGGAGTAAAGTTAATTAATGGTTGTTCTTTACTATAGGAATTTGTAAAACTATGTTGGATCGACCCTTAATATAGCATTTACTGTTTTACTGATTTACTGTTCCTCTAGAGGGGTTCGGGGGCATGCTCCCCCGCAAGAAATATTTTTACATTTTAAGGTTAAATGCATCAATCTCATGCTCTTTGAGAGATCAACATTAAGAGCTTCAAACCATGAACTGCTCGTTAAACAAAGAAAACGCATTGATTTGAACCAGGACAATAAAGAGGGCTCAAACATCTTTTTAGTTATGAGAGTCTCAGTCTACATTACATGATCAATGGTGTTTTAGGATGCCAAACAATTATTATAATAATGTAATAATGATTTATATAATTATTACTATGACGTAAAATCCATATAGCCTATAAATGTACTATATGAAGGAAAATTAATATTTCAAAAGTATATTTTAATCTACATTACACTATAATATAGGGAAATTAAAATACTTTTGTCCTTGTTTCTTCACTTGCAAGAAATAAACCCTTGAACTTGTATTTAGGAGAAAACACCAGATGACCATGATGATAGCGTGAGCAAAGTGCACACTTTTCTTTAATTCACCCAGCACTGAGGCCTATTCTTAAAGTCTTGTGCTGTTTTATAACGGCAAAAATCCATATCATGGTTTTAATTTTAGTTCATTGGCAAAATATAACGCTAGAGACCTTTATGTTAGGTTATACATTTTACATATTCTCATATGTGTTGGGAAAAGGGAGACGAGACTTCGGCAAAAGGCGGATTCAAACTCGGGTCGAGCGCATCAAAAGTTGATTCACGCGCTTCGCGCACTACGACCTACGCCACTTTAGCTGTGACGTGAAGGGCGGCTTTTATCTTAAAAGACAGGCACTTAGTGCAAACATACACTCCGTTTTATCAAACCGGCACTCTCGGCTTCGAAACACTACTGGCCCACCGGGGAAACTCCCGACTTTCCTGATTGCCACTCCGCCGCTGGTGTCCAGGGCCCCTTAGATGTCGTCGGCCCTTGGGCAAGTGCCCAGTTGCCCTAATGGTTAATCCGGCCCTGCTTTTAAACCTCATAATAGTATCAATTTTTCTGTTATACAATAGTTCAAATTATCATGGAAGTACTGGGATAAAAGTTTAAAGCTCAAATATAAACACTGATGTCTACGGTAGCGATCACAATAGAGTAAATCAGCTTTTAATAGAAACTTGGTGCTTAAAACAACACATTTATCCATTACATTGTTTCTCCACTAGGTGATGACAAGTGACTTAAAAATGTATTTGTTATTGAATTATTTATTCAAGAGAATGTAGAACTGTATGATGCTCCAGAAATAAAACTCACAGATGTGATGAATTGTTTTAGTAAATATGACTCATCTTACACATCATGTACAGTCTGTATAAGTGTATGATTGAACTTTTCCCCATAGTCTAGTGTTAAAAACAAAATCACAATACATTGCAATATCGAATCGCAATATTGTAGAATCGCAACGTATCGGCACCAAAGTATCAAATCTGGAGATAGACGCATTGTCCCAGCCCTATTGTGTGTGTGTGTGTGTGTGTGTGTGTAATGTATTTGTAAATATTTTAAGGAACTCTTAATATTAATGTAATTAATGTCCAATAAAGGCTGTATTAAAGCACTTAATGACATTCTCTGATTTTCCGTGACCTAATCTAAAGTGAGAACTATTTATAGTTAATAAGTTGTTAAAGCATTATCTAACTCTTTACATAAGAGCTAACTAAACTAACACTTTGTTAATTACAATGACTATAGTTTTATATAGTCTCTTAATATATTAACTACAGCTTATACACTATTATATACAATACGTTAACTATAAACGAATAGTTTTTAAATGATTTATAAGCGCTGTGTTACTGTATACTTGTGATAAAGTGTCACCGTTATTTCAAACTGGCCGCATTAAGTGTAATTGTTCCTTTTGTATGTGATGAAGTGATTCTTCTTTCTCAAAAATAACACAAAATAAACAAAGTAAAGATGGATTTGACTGATAGCATTATTATTATTTAAGATTTCTATAGTTATGGTGATATATTGATATTGTGTGTAATTTTGGCCATGATAATCATGTAGTGATAAATCTGATCTGGTGTCAGTCCTGGTTCAGGTGAAACACACACCACTTCCCTCTTTTCAGCTGCACACACACATTTTGAGGAAATGCTCACGCTTTTGCAAGGGTCTGTTTGCTCAGGCATTACAAGGCAAGTTGATTTACACCAAACATTTGTGCTTTAAAAACCCTCTTCACTGTATCCTGCATCTGTTGTCTGGTTTGTAGTTCGTCCGGTTTATTTAACTGTTGGTTTTACTGTGTTTTGTGGGATAATAATATAGTAAGATGTAAATGTTCCTCTTCAGAGAGACTCCTCACAGCTGTCTTCTACCGCCGGCAGGATCTGACGGTTCAAGCAGGAATCTGTCGCTGAACCACCGGATGGGGCTTACGCCGTGTCCTAACTACTCGCCACACACGATAAAAGGTTTCTTTTCCATGTTAATCAGAGTTTTTCTCCTAACCAGCCGCGACGGCGACAAGCGGTGATTCTATTTTAGAAACGGTTTCTATTTTTCTGCGAAGTCGCGCTGGAACAACAAACAAAGTGTGGCGATGATAATCTCAGGCACTGTTTATGTGCTTTATTTAATGTTAAAAGTGTATAATGTGACTCTGAATATCATTTACTGCTCTGGCTTTGTAGCCGTAAAAGCAACAATGGAGAATTCACCTCAGATCTTGAAATTAAATAAATGGAAACAAGAATGTTCAAACTGAGAACAAACTAGTGTATTATTTGACAAAGATTGTTTTAGTAACTCCAGTGGTGCAAAAAGTGGGTATGCGCTATATGCGGCGCATAGGGGAGCAGCACCATGGGGGGCGCCAAAGCGATGCTAAAAAAAATTGAATTAAAAAAAAATATATATATATATATATTGTATTTCTATATGTAGCTGCTGTTGTGCGTTTCTAAATCATTTCTGTATTTCTTCAATGTTATATACAATTTTTTTTAGAGGATTAACAGGCTAGAGTAGGCGCCCTCATGCAGAAGAGGGGCGGGGTAATATCGGCAGCGCCGTGAGCGCTTAGCGAGCAGGTACGAGTAGTGAGTTTTGGTCGAAAAAGATGGATAAAACAAAATTCTGTGGGACTAAAAATAGAAAAAGAAAGAGAGAAAAGGAGATGGCATGTCAATTGATGCGACAGCAGCTAAATAACTGCATGCTGAAAGCCAACAGGTAGGATTTAAAGTGTGGCATCCAGCATATCTATATCTCTGTGGCCATCGGGACTACCGGGAGATTCCCGCTGGGCCGACGTTTTTTTTGACCGATACATCTCATAGGCTACTTTTTATTTTATTTTTATTTGTCTTAATGGTCCATAAAACTCATACATCGACGGCTCATTCGTTTTTTTATTTTTGTTTGTTTGTTTTTTGCTTGATTGCGCTGGGTTCCTGCGGTGTAATGCATTTGTCAAAAAAAAAAACAGCGTTCGTTTTTTTCTGACACTGACCCATGAAACATGTCATTATGTGCTGATATCTTTCAAGTATAGAAATTAGTACAATTATGAAAGTTTCCTTTATTTTTAAGTGCATTTGTTTTACAATAGCCTATATGGCTATTACTATCACGGGATTAATATTATAACTATTATTATGTAGTAGTGTAATGTAGACAGACACTAAGGTTTAAATTTTTCTTTGTTTAATTTACACCCTGAATATGGGTTGGAGCTTTTAATTTTGAACTCTCAAAGCGCACCAGACTGCTGAATTAACCTTTAAAGAACACAAAATTTTCTTACAGGGGAGCATGCCCCCCAACCTCCCTAGAGAAACAGAGGTCCACTTCTGACACTGGATAGTTGCGCCCCTGAGAAACTCAGTAGTCTATGTATATGAATAATGATTAAATGGAGTCATATTTGTGAATTTGATTATGTTTCATTTTCTCACGAGTGCTGTCAGGGTTACTCTCTGGCCCTGTCCCAAATGGCACACTCCGAACTTGTGGACTTCCTCAGAGTCCATACTTCGGTGACGTCACATAGTGCAGACCTATAGGGCCCGAGTCCGCGAGGGTGCATTGAGAGGTATTTTTGGGACAGACTCGATCGTCACGCCGGAAACAGGAAGTCGTTCCTAACACCTGAAGCCTTATGCTTATCCCTCTCCATACGGAGCTAAATAAACTTATAAAGATCATCTCATCAGTCCCTTTATTAGAAATATATAATAATTATTTTTTAATGATATAAACAAATATCAGCCTGCTTTTACAGTTCTATAATTGTATATGCCACCTGGGCATTAGAATAGATGTCATGTAAATGATAAATACAGTTGTACATAAAGATAGCCTACATAATATTCAATTTTAACACAAAATGAAGACGAGTTTAAGAAAAATATATAGGTTTCAAAATTCATACTACGTTTATATGACTCAGTTAAGCCATGACATTCGGTTCTATTTATGTAATGAGTCAGAATGCAATCGTATATTCAACAGCTATTATTGCGTTTGAGATACAACCACTGGTCGATAATATGTTTGTATAAACTGTAAGTAACAACTGGTAAAATGTACGCCTATGTCATAAAAAACATAATAAAACTCTTAAATATTCTCTTCTCAGTCATGTTTACAGTCTTTGAGCAAAATCTCCTCCCATTCTTTTTTTCTGATTGGCCTTTCGCAAGGATTCCTGGGTAGTTAAAGTGCGTGGAGCCTGCATCTATGCGGGCTTCGTGGAAGACCGCTTCAAGGGTACAAAGGGGACGCTGCTGAGCACACTTCAGAGCATTAAAATGCTAAATGGGACGGCCTACGGACTCGTAGACTCGGCGAGCACGAGACCTAAGTCCACGAGACCGAAAGTCTGCATGAAGTGCGCCATTTGGGACAGGGCCTCTGATGCTGTGCGCTTGCCGTAAGACTCCACCCACACACTGTTCTGATTGGCTGTGGGTTTTGATTGATTTTGACGCATCTCACAGTCGTGTCGTGTCTAGTATGGACAGACAAATGATTTTTTGAAGTAATCTTATCGTATCGCGTCTGGTTAGGACACGGTCTTACGCCAAAAATATGTTGTATGCACTATCTACATATTAATCCTTATTCACTCAGAGTCTTTATAGTAGAGATGATCTTACCACAGTGTCTCCAGTTTACAGTGAGGATTCGCCAGTGGATCAGAAAGCTGCTTCACTCCTGAGTCTCCTAGTTTATTATGAGACAGACTCAGTTTTCTCAGGTGTGAGGGGTTTGATCTCAGAGCTGAAGCCAGAGCAACACAACCTTCATCTGTGACTCCACAATCCTCTAACCTGTATAGAACAATGACACACATTAAGCCTATATCCAGAGATAAACACAACACTTAAACTATAAATAACATAGGCAAGGCAAGTTTATTTATATAGCACATTTCATACACTATGGCAGTTCAAAGTGCTTTACATAAAGAGGAAATAATCACAAAATAAATGCAAGAAAAATTCAAACAGTAATTCAAAAGCTTTACATAGAAATAAATATTTTTTTAATAGCTATAGTGTGATTACTATAAATCCTTTTTATGGAAAATCACCATAATACATGGAAACCCAACAATGTGTGTGAGTGTGTGCCTGTGTGTGTGATTAAGTGTGTGCGAGATTAAGTGTCTGTGTGTGTGTGTGTGTGTGTTTACTGTATTTGTAAACATTTTAAAGAACGTGTGTGTGTTAGGACTGGGGAAAAAAATCGATTCACCTAACTGCACGGTTCATCTTTAAAATACTGTGATCTCCATTCAAACACACACACGATCTTCTTCCAGTTCCTCTGTCTATTAAACCTTTGACCAAATCATATCACAACATTTTAAATCTGTGTTGGCACTGCCGCTGACCCAGAGAGAGTTGGCATGAAACAGCTTAAATAGAAGTAATGGGATAAAAGTTTAAAGCTCAAATCTAAACACTGATGTCTAGCGATCAAAATAGAGAAAGTCAGATTTTGCTCGAAACAATCGCAAATCTTAAAAATCGCAATACATATCGTATTGGCACCCAAATATCATAATATCGAATCAGGAGATAGGTGCATCGTCCCAGCCCTAGTGTGTGTGTGTGTGTGTGTGTGAGTGAGCTTAATGTTTTGTAAACACTGAGTGAATTGCTTAAAGTTATTGAAACTTTGGAGTGATTGAGAAGCACGGATAAATAAGGAACGGGACGTGCTTGATTATCTAAAGCACATTAGAACTTAAATCGGCTCTAATCATCAGGAACTCGTGTTAAATATTTTTCATTCATGACTTCGTAAATGAACAACACCTTAATTAAAACATTAACTAAGATGAGCACATCATCATATTCAGAATAGTGATTTATTACGCATGATCATGATGTTTTCTTTGTTCTTTGTCTAGGTCACTGACTTAGTCGCCACTTAAGTTAAAGGGACACACACATGATGAAGTCATTAATAGATAATGCTTAGTTAAAGATGACTACTGAATTAGACAGAGCCTCAAATAGTCGGCACACCTTGGCTTTTGAAGCCAAGGTGTGCCGACTTTTCCCCCCCTTTTTATATATATTTTTCTGTTGAGCACCCAACTTGAGTGTTTTTGCTGTGGATGTGTGTGCTTTTGGATCTGATTTTTTTTATTTTTATAAGTGGCCATAGATGTATGATAGAATTAAGGGGCATTATCACAATAAAGGCATTAAGGTAAGACACAGGCAAGTGTGCGGGTAGACACTTCCGGTTTAGCATTCGCCCAGTGCAGGGAGCCAGAGAAAGCCAAAAATGATCTCTTATACATCAATTATATCACTTAAAATATTACTAAGATCCATATTACTATCACACACGAGCCAATGCCAATTAAATAAACGGATGCATAGTCAGAATAATTGGACTCATGCTAGACATACAATGACAAATATGCCTACTGTAAACATAGAGTTACAACTATCATTAGAGTTGTTAAATACTATTTTCTTAATTCTGCGCATTTATATTTTCACTTACATCAATTGGTCAATCAATGTTATTATCACATACTTTACATTTATATTTTTAACTGTAGGTTGTACCACAAACAATTTAATATAGCTATCGCTAATATATTGTATGTTTTGCTTATAAACAGACAAATAATGATTTATAAAACAGATGCAAGATCTTTACTCATCTCATTTGCACAAATTAACAGATAGCATAGAAACTCACAGGTGAAATAAACGTAAAATCAGTGGCGTAGGTTTGATTTTGAAATTGGTGGGATGGAGATTTTAGGGCTGGGTATCAATTGACATGTTAAATTTTGATTCGATTCTCGATCCGATTTTGGTTCCTTATTTGATTTCGACTATAATGAATGTAGACCTAACACAAATCCTATATTTATTAAAAAAAAAAAAAAGAACAGTAGTTTGGAGTAGGTTTTTTTTTTGTATGTCAGAAATACTACAGAAACTGAATAAAGTAATCCAATGTAAAATAACACTGGATAGTCTTTTTAGTCCAGACTGAATTAAATACATAGGCTATTCATTCTGATTGCTTACAATTAATGCAATTATTGTGTTGTTTATGACAACTGAATCGACACTTTATCCGAATTAAGTGATATCGAATGAAAAATGCCTTATGGAAACAGTAAAATTCGATGAAATTTCATGAAAATCGACTCAAATGAAATACGTTCGGTCTCATCGGATTTTCTCTTGATCGAAATACGGCTAATGCGATAAAAGCTGATGGAAACGTTATTTGCCGAATAAATAATGAATTGCGATTAAGTTTTATGCCCTTTTATGGTTGCAACACGCCAGAAGACGAGTTCATTTCCGGCCAGTCTGTTTGCGCACACATGGCGGATGTCAACAAAGACAGATGTAAGTGGACAAAGTAAAAACACACCGTTGCTATAACACACCGTTGCAATGGACGCAGTTCAGAGACAGAACAGACTATTTTCTTTAACAGAAGCAATACTCGTTTTTAAATCAATAAACTCGTTTTTAAGTCAATATTTTGTGTCAAATTATTGATTTATTGATTTATTTGGTTGATTTATATGTAATAAGCAGGATAATATATGCGAGCATACATTATCCCATACATCGCTATCAGCTGGCACATAAGCATTATTAGGCTTCAACTTGTGAAATACTTGATCATTTGTTGGTAGATGGCGCAATCCGTTTTGTCTAACAAAACTTTGTTCGCAAAAGTTTGCTTGAATGTTGTTCGATTCAGTGCGAAAATGAATGGAAACATCTTAAAATGTCTCAAATCAATTCGATATGCCAATTTGATCGCAAAACAGCATGTGACGTCATTAAGTACAGGTTTTTATTCGCTTTAAAGCCGTTTGATGGAAACACACTTTCACCAGCTTTATTCGCGTGTTTTTTTTTACCGAACTTCAGATAATTCGATTGACAAGTGGATGGAAACATGGCTACATATGGCTGCGTTCACTTTAAGAACTAGCACGGATCCAGTCCTTTCTCATAATAGTAACCCAGATAGCAAACTGACATTGAATCAACGTGGAAATATGACATCGAAACAACGTTGATCTGACATTGTTTTGCTCATCGAATTAACGTTGAACCAACGTCAGACGCGTCATTCTTTCAAAACTAACGGAAAATCAACTTGAAATCAACTCGTTGTTTCAACATTATGAAAGCAAACCAATTTTCGATTTTCATTTAGCTTTGAAGAATGCCGCGTCTGACGTTGGTTCAACGTTAATTCGATGAGCAAAATTAACGTTGTTTCAATGTCATGAGAGACGTCGTTTCTGGCGAGCGGATTTAGGCTGTACTATCCCAGATAGCAAACTGACATTGAATCAACGTGGAAACATGACATCGAAACAACGTTGATCTGACATTGTTTTGCTCATCGACTTAACATTGAACCAACGTCAGACGCGTCATTCTTTCAAAACTAACGGAAAATAAACTTGAAATCAACGTTGTTTCAACGTTGTGAAAGAAAACCAATTTTCGATTTTAATTTAGCTTTGAAGAATGCCGCGCCTGACGTTGGTTCAACGTTAATTCGATGAGCAAAATCAACGTTGTTTCGATGTCATGAGAGACGTCGTTTCCACGTTGATTCAATGTTTGCTGTCTGGGATGTGCACGCAGTGAAAGACATCTCTGAGAGTGCGCGTGCACAGGATAAAATGTCGAAAACTCGGGATAAAAATGCTTCGTCGTCCAAGGCTAGCCACGCAGAGCAGCAAGCTAATGCCAACCCTGCTAACGTTACAGACGGTGTTACAGCTAGCGTCTTGCTTCAAGCTATCGAATCTCTCAGAACTGAGCTGAAACAGGACAACGCCACAGTGAGACAGGATATTACTTCTCTACAGCAGGAATTAAGCGGCAAACTTGACACGATGGCGGAGGACTTGAGAGGCCTGACCGACCGAGTGGAAGAAGCGGAGTCTCGGGTGGGGCGTGTAGAGGACGTTACTTTGGATTTGGCCGTAAAGGTGGCGGAGGGTATGAAGCGACAAAAGGCCCTTCAAGACAAATTGACCAATCTGGAGTCAAGATCCCGCAGAAATAACATCAGGATCTTTGGAGTTGATGAAGGAGAAAAGCCGGCGTCAATGGCGAATTTCGTTGCAGATCTGCTCCAGCGACATCTGGCATTACCAGCTGAATTGGACCTTAAAATACAGCGAGCCCATCGAGCTCTTTCCAGGCGGCCCGGTGACGCACCAAGACCTATCATAATCAATTTCCAGGAATTCACTATTAAAGAGATGATACTAAAGGAAGCGTGGAAAAGGGGAGTTTTTCAACTAAACGGCAGGAACATCTACTTTGATCACGACTACGCATCAGAAATTGTCCAACAGAGAAAGGAGTACCAGAAGATTAAAAAGGTGCTGAAGGCGAAAGGCATTCGCTTTCAAACACCGTACACAAATATGCGTATTCACTGGGAGGACGGAGCTAAAGTATACGGCTCCGCACGTGAAGCAGGACTAGAGCTAAGGAGGCGAGGTCTCGATGTGGAGCTGCCGGCTGTGACGGAAGAGGACGCGGAAACTTGGCTTCAAAAGCTAAACTTATGGCAGCGGGAGGGCCAACCACCCAAAGGCTTCGTACTGGCTACAGCTCAAAGGGCAAAGCTGAAGCTGAAGGAGTTTCAAAGAAGCGGAATCTGATTTCTAGGATATGGACATTTTCATAATCGCAAAGCAATCTTCGCGCATTCATTGTCATTGTAGAGCGGCACATGTTGTTTGCGTCGAATCGTTGGACTTTAAGGATGGAGGGGATGTCTACGCCTCTCAACCTTTGCATAGGGACCTCCTTTTTTTGGAGAACTATCCCTAGACCCTCCAACGGGGTCATGGTGGGTCAGGCAATATCCCCACTGAATGGAAGTCACAGGTATCGTTCAGTTTGTTTTGTTTTTG